GAAATATATCTATAGTGCTGGGAGTGCAACTACTAGGCTATAGTGAAATGTTCTAGTAGTTAACGAATGTTGGTTAACAAGGTTAATGAATTTAACCGGTTAATCTTGGATCGTTGGAGCCCATGATCTATAGGTCCATTAGATCCCTCTGCTAGCTCATATCGGACTAAACCATAGAATAGTGTGACAAGTGAGTTCGAAGTGTTCGAATTCAAATTAGGGAGAATGCGTTACATACATACGATATATTTAACCGCAATTTTGTTTTATTTACGAATTAAACAAAAAGAGAGAATCTGAGATATTTAAATAAGATTTAAATATCTTAATCAAATATGTGTCGGAATTAATTGGGATTGACATTTGAATTAATATTAAATATTAATTAAATAGTTTAATTAATCATTTAATATTACTTTAATTTGAAATTAATAATTCAAATTGATTGTTGAATCAAAATGAAAAAAGTAAAAATGTTGACTTCATTTAATAGAAAAATCCGTTAGTGGAATTTTGAGGTGTCAAAATTTGGTTTAATCAAACTTGCATGCTTCCCAAATAAACCACACAAATTTGAGTGGAATTTTAAGTGTCAAAATTTGGTGAACTCAAGCATGCATGCTTGCCACATAATCCAAAACATTTGAGTGGAATTTTGAGTGTCAAAATTTGGTGATCTCAAATTTGCATGAACATGCAAACATGACTCTATAAATAGAGTGATCATAATACATGAAAGGTTTTCTTGTTGGTGAAAAACCTTGAGAAAAACTTCTCACAAACACTCTCTTCATATATACAAAATCCCTCCCAACTTTAGTCACTCACCGGATTCTACAATCCCGTTCTAAGGCCGAAGGATAGTGGAGAAGACACTAATGGTGGTTCGAAACTGGTTCGTGAGGAAAAAGGAATTTGAACTACAAAAGGTTAGTATTCAAATTCATTAAGTTTTAGTACTTATGAACATGCTAGTTATTTACTATAATTGATGTTCTAAAAATGCCTAAGATCCAAATTGCTTCTGCATGTGTTATATTAACACCATCCTATAGCTATTTACCATATATAGCTTTACCGGATATAACCGTTGACCAAACTATAAATAAGAGAGCAGACTCCATAACCTAACATGCATGTCCTCGGGTGTCAGTCCAGTCTTTTATTTTGCATTTTGATTTTCACATTTTTATTTTTTGGAACTTTCATTTGTTTGAATCTTTGTATTGAAACTTTCGGTTATAGAAATAAATGATTTGGCTTTTACATCTTCTCAACTTTTTCTTTGCATACACATTGTCTTTTGATTCACGACTCATACTAAAATATCAGGTTGTGATAGGTGGTTCCTCAATAAATGGTTTCATCGGTTAACACTTTCTTCCATCTAATTCTAGTGATCAAAAGCTCTGTTGAATTCATCTAAAACTATCAATTGTTCAGTTAAATTACTCCCATTGTTGTCCTCTTCTTGCTCACATTCCCAACTATCCCATTCCTCTGGTTGTTGTGTTAGCTCATAGACTGCTGAACATTCCTCTGCCTCTATTGGATATTTCATAATGTCACTGATATTAAATTCTACTTTATAGTTACCCATTCTTAATGTTATGGTTCTCTGGTAGACATCTACCATTGTTCTTCTGATCTTTAAAAATGGTCTCTCCAAGATAATTGGTACATCATGGTGTGCTTCATAGTCTAAAATAATAAAATCGGCTGGAAATATGAATTAACCCACTTGAATTAAAATGTCGATCTTTCCTTCTAAATAAGTGATGGACCTAGCCTCACCACTTCTTGTAAATGGATAGAGACATTAAGTTGATGCTTTCCCCCAAGTCACATAATACTCTACCTAACTCCTTTCCTTGAATGGATAGACGAATAGGGAACGAGCCTGAGTCTTTTTCCTTTAATGGGATCTTATTTTCATAATTGCACTACACTCGTCATTTAGTGGCACCACCTTGAATTCTTCAAACTTCCTTATATTACTAAGCACATCCTTCATGAATTTCACATAATTTGACATTTCCTCAAAGCCTCCACTAGTGCTATGTTTATATGACTTTCCTTCGGAATATCCATGAACTTCTCAAAATGGGCTTCCTCTTTCTTTCTTTTTATTCCGGGTGGAAAAGAAGGTGGTGGCATGTATGTTTTGCTCTCTTCTTCACTACTATCTGCTGCTCACATTTTAGGAGATTGTTTTGCTCGGCTCCTTTTGTCTAGTATTTTCCTCTTTTCTTTGTTGTGTATCAACTATCTCTTGTGAGCGACTGTCATTGTGTTCTTTAATTTCACCTCCCATGTTGGATATTTATTTCCCACTTCTCAATTCTATTGCTTGACATTGCTCTTGTCCTCTCTTTTTGGTGTTTCGATATCTGCTAGCAGCTTTCTATGAGATCTATTTCGTAACTCAATTGCTAATTTACCCAACTTAACTTCCAAATTTCGCAAGAATGTTTGTTGAGTCTATATCACAACATCATTTTTTTTTGTCATATATTCCTTCATTATGCCCTCAAGAGATGTTCCCGGTACGTGCTGAGCTTGATTAGTTCCTTTCTCTTGGGTATTGGCTTATTGAGGACCATATGTCATTGGATTTTGTAGTCCAAAACTTGGAGGGTAGTTTGTTTTATGTGGCATTTGTTGATTGTATGAACTTTGTCCCTTAAATGGTTTCTCCACCTTGAGTTATAAGTGTTTGAGAAGGAATTACTTTTACGGTTGCCTTGACTAGCGTGATTTCTCACATAAAAAATTGACGATGGATTACTTGGACATCGATCAAAAGTGTGTTCTTCACAATATACACAAGATTCAGTTGTTGTTTGAGTCATTACAACAACAATTTGAATGGGTTCTTTAGTCATTGAGCCTTGTCCTAATGCTAGATTTTTAGATTTGTCACAAAAGCAAATTGAGCATTTATAGAGGTGAAAACATCAACTTCAAGTACTCCTCGGGTCTTCTTTCCTAGATTGCTTCTCACATCAGCTTATTGACAATTGTTAGATGCTATTCTTTCTAGGATCTCATAAGATTCATTGTACGTCCTTGACAAAATAATCCACCACTTGTTTAGTAGCAATATTCAGTCCATTTTAGAAATTTTCCATTGGATACAATGAGGTATTTTTTGGTGAGACATTTTCTAATCATCTCCTTAAGTCTTTCTCAAGCTTTACTTAGTGGTTCATCTTCAAACCGTTAAAATGAACAGTTTCATTTTTTGAACCATGCATTTCTAGTGGGTAGGAAATACTTGATCAAAAAGATTTATGCTAGACTATTCCAGAATCAATTGCTCCCGGTGCTAAAGTATTCAACCATAATTTAGCATCATCCATCAAAAAATAAGGAAATAAGATCAGTCTAACCATGATTCTATCCACCCCTTGGAATCAGAATGAGACACTAACTACCAAAAATGACTTTAGATGTAGGTAAGGATCTTATCACAGTAGTCCATAAAATTGTCCAATGTTTACAGTATTTGAAACATCACGGGTTTTAGCTCAAAAGTAGTAGCATGCATTTTGGTCTGATAATGCATGAATTTAGCTCCTCCACAGCTGGATATGCATATACTTTGATTGCTCTTTCTCTGTCATCTACTAAATGAATAAAATTAGCAATGATTCTCTCTAAATTAGCCCGGCTCGATTTTCAAACTTTTGATTCATTTGGGCTCAAAAGTTTCTTTGATGTATATTTTGTTATGTCATTCTCAACCTTTGCTCCCTTAGTCCTCCCCTCCCCTAAAGGTTCTCTTTATTTTAAGATCTAAAATAAATTTCAAAAGGGTAGGTGGGTTCATACACCCAATTTTGTAGTAGAAAATTCAGTAGAAATAAATTCAGCTATGTTTTTTTTTAGGCTCAAACTCACTCTAATCTTCAAACAAGTAACTAAACTCACTCTAATCTTCAAACAAGTAACTAAATTAGGTTCCGTCTTTTGAAGATATATAATAAAATGGTGTAAAATTCACAAGAAAAAGTGCAATTATACACTACTACATGTAGTAAGCAATAAATAAATTATTGATTCCACAGATGACCTATTTTTTTAGTTACTTGAAATTAAGTAAGTTTTTAGCAACATTCAAATGTGTGTGGATGAGTTTAACCTTTTTAAACAAAATTTATGCAGAGTGACAACTGCGGTAAGAAAATAAAGAGAAATGAGAAAATCAATAATAATGAGGAAAGATGGGCTATAAGATATGAAATAGATAAGTTGTTGAAATTTGCGGTGGATTTTAGCTCCTATTAGGTTCTCAAGCCTTCTTTCGAAGGTCATGCTTGGTGATTACTTCCATAATCATTTTGCAATTTCTATTAACAAGACTCTGGAAAAAGAATTATTCCTAACCCTTCAATTACCTAAGTTTTCTTGCAATGGAACTAGAGTATTAAAAAGAATTTCGTTGCTCTCTCTCTCTCGTCTTTTGAATAAGAAAACAACTATGTATGTAAAGTGACCAACACTTTAATCCGGAAAGTTCCTTGAAATTAGAAAAGAACAACACTTTTTCCCTTCTTGAGCACCTTAAGATTCCTTCAAGATAAAGAATTAAAAGTTCGAAAAGTTTCATAAATATTAGAAAAACACATTTTCCCTTCTTGAGTATGGTACCCTAACATTCATCATTAATACGATTAAGAGTGTTCAAGTAGGCTACTTGCTAAGTTTTATGCTTATTCTAGTGTTTACATATTTTTCAGATAACAACTAAGATTGGAAAAGGGAGGGAACAAATCTAGAGTAGGTGCCATAAAGAGTAAATCTTAAGGTTAAGAGCCTCCACCATTTTGTATCAATTTGTGTGACAATAATTTTGAATTTTGTTCCTTATGCATCTAAACTTAAAATTTTGAAAATTATATGAAATTCTTCTAAGTCTTTTGTAACCCGAGAACCCATGAGACATGTATCCTAGAGAATATTTTATACCCAACAATAATATTATAGTAGTTAACAGGTACAAAAATAGATTCCTCTATTGGGTTCATAATGCAATTTAGAATCAAACATAGTTGAACAAATAAGAGCAACAAAGATGAACAAAATAGAACCATATCCCTCTCCACCGAGGGTTAACAAAGAGAACGATCACGAGTCCCAACAATACCATGAGATATGATGCAACAAAACTCCAATAGAACGTTTCTACATATTCATTAATCTTGTCATCTTCATCTCTCATCAACTCCTCATATTGATTCCTTGGTCTCCCCTTAGGACTCGAGCAACCTTTTCCAGCAACCACCCCACAAAGATTAGGGTTACCTAAATAGCTGCCCTCAACAAATGTTCTAAAGTGCGGGGACATAGGGATTACGCCCGACAAGTTGTTGTAGGACACATTGAAGAACGAAAGAAAGTCAAGCTGAGATAGGTTGGAAGGGATGCCTCCACTCAACAAGTTATAAGAAAGGTCCAAGCTCTCCATTTGTTTCAATTCACAAAGGGTCTCCGGTATCCGCCCTTTCAATTTATTGTGTGAAAAGTTCAATGCATGGATCTTGTGTAAGTACCCAATTTGTGGTGGGATTGTTCCACTTAGCTCATTGTTTGATAAATCCAATCCACACATGTACTTCAAAATATTTCCTTTATATTGTTCTAATCTATTCTTGGTCATGAAATTTACTTCAATCTCGCCTTCCGAATACTTATCTTCATGACTAATTTTCCAAAACATACCTTTTCCATCAAATAAAACGTCAATCTCAATGAAGAACACACTTTTAAAATCAAGCCCCATCGATTCATATGAACTTTTAGACCTTTTTGAGATTCCAAACGACATGCTACCTAGGCATGAAGGAATAGATCCCTTGAGTTTATTACTGGAAAGATCCATAATATTCATTTCTCTTAACCCACAAACATGTCTTGGAATTGAGCCACGCAAATGATTTCCTTTTAATAAAAGGAATTGTAAACTTGAAAATAAATTAATCCAAGAAGGAATATGTCCTGAGAATCTATTTTGACTCAAATCAAATGCCACTAGCTCCTTGCTTTTCGAAAAAGCCTTTGGAATTGGGCCTGAGAAGTTGTTGTCTTGCATGTACAAGTAGTTCAATGAAGGAACGTTGAAGCAAGAGGGTATAGAGCCATGTAATTGATTTCCAGAGACGTCAAAGAATTTGAGAAATTGAAGAGAGCAAAGTTCAATTGGTAATTTTCCTTTCAAATGGTTTTCTGAGAGTTGAAGATATAGAAGATCTGTTAAGTTGCCAATCCAACGAGGAATTGAACCTGAGATACGATTCTCTGATATGTCCAACACAATTAAATCAGGACTATCTTGTAATTCATCTTCAATACTTCCACTAAAATTATTGTTTCCCAATTGCAAACGACTTAGCTCAGGCATGCTACTAAATAAAGACATCCTTATCTTCCCCGAAAATTTATTATTTGACAAATCAAATATATTCAAGCTTCCTAATTTTCGTATTGACAAGGGAATATTGCCTTGGAAGCTATTTCTTGAAACGTTGAAATGGGTAAGACTTGGTAGAAGGAAGCCCATGTGATAAGGGAGGTGACCATGGAGAGTGTTGCAAGAGAGTCGTAGGTGAAGTAAATGGTGTTTGAAAGGAGGCAGTTGGAGGGTGGCAGTGAGGGAGTTATTGGTTAAAATTAGGTACTCCAAGTTTGTGTTGTTTTTCAACAGCCATACCGGAAATGTTCCGACCAAGTTATTATGGGAAAGGTCGAGAAACTTAAGGGCATGTTGGGACATTAAAAACATGGGAATCTTCGAAGATGTCTTGCTGTTTAGGTTGCAATGGCTTAGTTTGAGGACATTTAACTGAAAAGTGGGTAAGAAGGAGGGGGTTTCGGTTTGGACTTGTAAGTTGTTGGTGTTTTTGGTTGAGATTTGGAATACTTTGAGATTTGATAGGTTGGCTAAGAGGGCCAATGAGAAGGTGCCTTGGAAGTTATTGTCGTCAAGCTGTAAGATCTTGATTGATTTGAGGGAAGAAATGGTGGATGGAAGGGTTCCGGTGAATTGGTTTGAAGAGATGTCCAGAAATTCAAGGCTGCTTATGTTCATCACACATTGTGGAAATTCACCTGAAAAATTGTTGGAGCTGATGTCCAATTTCACCAAATGCTTTGTTTTGCATAATTCTGCCAAATAAAATGCATTCAAATACTGTAAAACCAACTCAACTTAATCCCTTCAAAAAAAACTTTTCTTACCACAAAAGTACATTAAAACTCTTATTTTAGTGAAATTTATAGATTTTATTAATGGAAAAAAATAAGTTTATAAAGATTTTTTATATGTTAAAATTGATAGACGAATTAACAAAAATTACAATTATTAATAGTTTATGGATAAAAAATATTGTTTTTTCCTTTTTTTTTTAATAAATTTAAAATTCATGTCTCTTTTAATTAAAAATAAATAAATAAAGAAGGATTTTAGATTTGTAGTTACCTTGTAAGAGTTTTGAATCATTGAATCGATTATTGTTGAGCGTCAATTCTCTCAAGTTCTTCAAATCTGTTTGGGAAACAAGAAAAAAAAAAGAATTTTGAATAAAAGAAAGATTAGAAAATTGAAATCAGTAATTTGAGAGTACATTTGTGATTAGTGAAGGCAGAGAAGGCATTGTGGGACAAGTCGAGTGATTCCAGCTTGGGAAAAGGGTTCAAGAGAGAAGCGTGGAACAAGTAAAGCATGTGGTGGGAATGGTCGATGTCCAACAGAGTAGAGAGAGAGAGGCGGAGTATGTGAGGTGTGGGAGAGTGGCATTGAACTCCCTCCCACTCGCAGCAGTTCCGCCCACTCCACGACGGAAGGGAATCGATGCTAAAATTATGGCCATTAAAGAACCGCTTCACCTCCAACAATCCCAACCTTTCTTTCTCTAAGCAACCGTTGCATGCGTTCGCTAATTCAAACACCAATATCACCGCCACTACCAATCTTCCTGACATTCTCGATATCTCTCCTCCACTTCTCTCTCTCCTTTGCCTCCGCTTTGCTTTAACTACTCTCCCATGGAACATCCAAAGCCTGTCCTTTAGAAGTGCAGCCCCTGGTGGAGCATCCACCGCCTATGCTGGTGGAGCATCCCACCTTTTCCACCACCTCCTTTTTCTACTTTTAAATTAAACCAGATTATTAAAACCTTATATATTCTAATTTGTTCTTCAATACTAATCATTAATCCCAAAAATTGTAAAAGTAGGAGTTTAAGTAAAGGCAAGAGGCCCTTGCTGACGCCATCATTCATACATGAGGCATTGCCTCTACCTCAAAGACATCGTATGGGTATTTATAATAATACTCCGTTCATGAATGGTTGGAGTTTGAGAAATGCACTTGAGTTGTTTATTAGATTCTACCTTCTTTTTAAGGTAGGGTTTAATGCATAATACTTTTCTATGTACGGTTTATGCACGAATGCATGAACCCACTAAAGAGACTCATATACAAACTCCCTAGACTTAACTATAGGCTAGCACACACTAAAGTCGCAAGAATTCAACAAAAAAACAAAAAAAAACATTTTGATAACATACTCATCAAATTTCAAATTTAAGGGTATAATGGTAATTTTACTATAAACATAGTAAATTATTTTGTACCTAGGAAGATTAAGATACTTAGAAAATCAGTTAATTAAGGTAAGATTTTCAAAATATTATAACATGAATAAAAAGTTATCACTTAAAATTAGTCCTAAAAAAAAAAAAAAAAAAAAAACTAATGAAATATATTTGCATAGGAGTATCGAAAAGATTATCATCGGTACCACATCCCGTTTGTTTGAACATAACTTCAGTCATATTTTGGAAATCTTATATTGTAGTCAATCTCTATTATAAATTTTTAAACGTGATCATAATACACTTCATCCAAACCATAACTCAATATCTTTAAATCACCTCATAACTTCTGCACTGTGATTATTCTCGAAACTAGCTTTAAACCTTGCAATTATATTCAAGATAAATGGTTTTTACTTTTCACTATTTTTAAAATTCAAGTCACATTAAAGGTACTCATTAAATTAAAAAAAAATTAGTGCAGTGAAGTTTCGTCACAAAGTTTTCTTCAACATTACCATTCTCAATATCTATAGCAACTTATAAGATATTAACGTCTACCATGTTTCCTTGATCATTTTCATTTGAACTAATTTACTCATTAGTATAGGTGATCACATCCTTTTCCTATTTCTATGGTCATAACACTACATCGTTTAACTATGCATGAACATCTAACTCAAACATTTAAACTTCCTCAAAATCTATATACTATTGTTAGTTAGCCTACTAACCTCTTTTCATGAAACAACTCCACAATTACAGAACAAATCATGATAAATCTAAATATGTTCTAAGTTATAAATACATCAGGTAGCATTTACATTTCATGCCCAATAAATCATAATATAATATAGCAATATCATTTATTATCTTACACAAAACATAATTGACAATAACGAGACGCTTGATGATGATGACTAGACATTGTAAGCTATTTATAAAATTTATAAACCTAGAGCCTTGATGCCAACTATAATGATCCTATTTTTTTTTTTTAAATTAAGATAACTATGTAATGATTTGAAAAATTATTTTAAAAAATTCATATAAGAAAATTTATTATGGACTTAAAAATTCATAAACCTTGCAAACATGTAAAAACAAAATTGGAATAAAAGAAAAGCATTTGGTAAAAACAAAATTGGAATAAAAGAAAAGCATCTGTTTGAAAGATGAAAATACTACTAAACTACGGACTTCAACATAAATGCGAAAAACTATCTACCTTACGACTTCCTCAAATTCCATCCTCCATTCATTACGTAGAAAAAAAAAATAAGTAAATGATAAGTATTTAGATATACTCAATAAGCGACCCTACTGTTGATGTCGAGAAATGCAATCACATGCCGCATATTTATGACTAGTGGGATTTAGTTTTCATAATTGTTCCTCTAGACTCTATTTTTCAGGTAAGATTTGATACATTATACTATTATACTTTTCTACACATAGTTGACACATACATACATGAATCTACCAGGCAAGCTCGTATACATACCACTAGGTTTGACTATGGGATAAAACATAGTCATACTGCCAAAAGCCAACTAAAAAAAGAGAGCATATAATATCGTAATGTATGTTTTTATACCTAACATACTGAAGAAGTAATTCATACTCATGTAACATATATGTATGAGGTCCTACATTAAGAATCATGGTTCAATTAGATTATGTAATGGATTGAAAAAAAAATCTTAGAACAATCAACGCTCCAAAAATCTCACAATTTTCAGTGACGGCCACGAACTACTTGCACGACCCAACCCCCTTACTCTTCTTTTAGAACTGCCCTCAAGCCCACTCTACTCGGTCAATAGCTTCGTGCTATCTGAGAGAATGAGACACTAAGAGAAGGTGACGGTAGATGAACGATTCTCCATTGGACTGAAACAATTGGCATGATTAAGGAACTTTGCGTTAGCACGATGCGAAGGACATGACACCAAAGTAGAAACAGAAATAACTCATAACACACCACGATAAGCAGAACGACGCCTTTCTGTCATGGTTTCAACGTAGTCTCATTGTCAGCAAGGAGAACTGTTTATTTTCAAATAAATGGTGACGTCATGCTTCTCTATTTCATGTTAACACGAATGCCCCATCGCCTTGGGTGTGAAGAAGAAGTGGACAGAGACTTAAGGCTGCGGGATTTGGATGGAGGGACGATGGAAGGGAAGTGTCGAAAGTGTGCGGAAAGAGAGAAATGAAATCGAGATTTTTGAAGAAATCAGGCAAGGAAGAAGAGATCCATCGGATTCGGATCCAAGTCTGCCCCTACGCATGCGTGATGTGTGTCGACTCCATGGGCTCACCGGTCTCGTTTGGCTTGGCTAGGCTCCAGGATTCAAATTCGAATCAGATCTTATATTTGGACATCATTCCCTATGTTTTGGACCCTCCCTAAGTTGATTTTGATCTAAGGCGAGTCATTTTTCCTAGTTTTAAATTAAATTAAGTTAGGAGTTCGACTATTACTAAGGCTATTGAGTGAATATTCAAATAGGTGAAACCTCAACAAAAGCGAGAATAAATTCGAAGGACAAAACAAAGCTAAATTTGAAGGAGAACTTCGGCTAAGGTCAACCAAGTAAGTGGTCCTACTATCGGTTCAATCGAAAGACTTGTTTTACGTATAATGACACGTGTCTAGTGTCTCTTGCAGGTGTCATGTATGTTGATATGATATTATGATGTGTTATGATGATACTATGATGTTATGATGATCAGATTTGCTATGATATTATGATATGTTATGATGATGATATGATGTTATGGTTATGTGATGTATTATGATGCCATAATAAGATGATGATGCATTGTGACATGATGACATGAGATGTATGATGATAATATGACAGAGTATGATGATATCTCATGTTACAATGATGTGCATGTATGAAATGCCGTGTTGCATTTTGATAATAAGGAGTTTTCTAATACAAACCCCTAAACAATGTTATGAATGATGAAGGTAGGAAAGCTTATGCATGCATGTAACCTAGAGTAATATGTGAAGGATGTCTGGGGTTGTGTCGCATGAATGATTTAAGATGAAAAGCATAGGGACTTCATGCATATTGTATGTACATTTACATCAGGATACTATCCCTTTCATGACAAACGCATACACTATGATAATGAACATCTCTTGCATGATATTTGAGAGTTTGTTATACCTTCGAATGTCTGACTACTGTCAACTAGTTCGACCATGCAGATCCAGGGGGTGTGTAAACACGCCTGGTGAGCTCATGCTTGCATGTGTGGGGTGTGTGTAAGAAAGTAATACACATTCAATTTATCCGAACTAGAGGCCACCTCTATGATGGTTTTAAATCATAGATCGTTAATCATGATTGCATATGTTTGCATTCACTGACCCCAACACTGGGGCTATTTACTAAGTATTTCTTAAAATACTCAAGTCATGTGCTACTTCTATATTTTAGGTAAATGCAAGACACCCATATACGGTTGACGATGACATCACAATTAAATACCATGGAACTTGAATAGGATAGTTGCATTTAATTTTGTAGATCCTTGGTTAGTATAGTGATGACTATTTTTATATTTACTTAAGTTATTTTAATATTTCCACACTACTATTTTAAGATCTTTTCTTA